TCCCTATTTTTTTCCTAGGGGAGGGATTTGTTTTTTCATTTTTGGATAGAGGTCAGAGCCACCTTAAAGACAGTCATCAGTGGGCAGGTAGCATATGAGATCTTCAAATAGTATATATAATTAAAGGTAAAGTATGGTAATGTATATATGTACCTTCCTTTCAAGATTACAAGGAAAAATGTTGAGGCCAAATAATGCCCCTTTAGTTAAATCAGCTATCTGAAAGTTATCAGTAAGCATAACAATAATATTGAAAAGACTAAAAGGTAATTTTTACTTTTTTTTTTTTTTTTTTTTTTGAGTTTTTTTGGCTGGGACTGGGTTTGAACTGCCACCTCTGGCATGTGGGCCCGGTACCCTACTCCTTTGAGCCACAGGCACTGCTCCCTAAAAGGCAATTTTTAAGGAAAAAAATATTGGCCTATTCTATTGCAAAAGAGGTAAAGAAGAAGAAGGGACAAGTAAGTTGAAATCTTAACAAGGTAATGCAAAACATTGAATCGGACCATTAATACTTCTAAAAAGTTTTATGCATTTCCAGTCTCCATGAGAACCATGAAACTTTAAAGTGCATTAAGACAAATTTTCAGGCACCATCTATATATGAACTTGACAGAATTTGGGAGAATAAAACAATCTGAAGCCTTATTTTTAAGAGGCCTTTAAAAGATAAGGCAAATGTGTGTTAGCTAAGCTATCTGGCCTTTCAGTGGAGTTAAATGTTCCATGATTATTACTAATTAAAAATTAGGCTAAAGTTATTTGAAAGCATGCTTTGCTAAGGTCTTTTTGAATAACAATGAGGAAGGAAATACCACGTGGCAACTATTTACCATGAGTTGAATATGTGGAAAATAAAAATGGTACCAATACTGACTGAAAGCTGCTCATGAAGGGCTGGCTGTCGGATACCTTGTGTACACATCAACGTAACATTCACTGTAGGTGCTTTTATACTCAGTTTTGGAGTCATGGCAAGTTAGATGAACATCTCTGAATGAGCAATGCATGACAGGAATCACAGACTCGTACTGGTTTTGGTGAGGAAGGCAAAGGCAATTCGTTGTCCGAGCAGGCATTACAGAAAATTTCCCCACAGTTTCTACAGTGGTGCTATTAAAAAAGAAAAAAAACTATGAATAAATACAATTCAAAGTTTTATTTTTTAAACAGTCTCTGTCACCCAGAATAGAGTGTCACAGCAACTGCTTGGCTCTCAGCAACCTCAAACTCCTGGATTCAGGGGATATTCCTACCTTAGCCTCCTGAGTAGCTGGCACTATGGGCTCCTGCCACAACACCTGGTTAATTTTTCTATTTTTAGTAGAGATGGGGTCTTGTTCTCAGGCTGGTCTCCAACTAAGCTCAAGGGATCGTCCTGCCTTGGCCTCCAGAGTGCTAGGATTATAGGTGTAAGCCACCATGCATATCCTGAAAGCATTTTTGCACCAAAAATTTTGGACTCCCTGGCGATTCCCTTACCTTTCTCTTAGAGAGTGAGAATTCCTTTTCACAAAGTTTACAATGTGTTGCTTCTTTGTCTTTTAGCCACACCAGTCCCTAGTAGGAAGAAAAGTAAGTATTAATGCTCAAATTGGTAACACTAAAAATTACATGTGAAAATGTTTTTGCCTAAGAACATTTATAGAAATAAATGTGAAGAAGCAAAAGCTCTTTTCTTTGACATATACTTAAATATCTGTAGATGAAGTATGCATGAAATTTGCCTCAAAATATCCTGGGTTGGTTGGCTTGGCACCTGTGGCTCAAGTGGCTAAGGCGCCGGCCACATATACCTAAGGTGGCGGGTTCGAATCCAGCCCAGGCCCACCAAAATGACAATGATGGCTGCAACCAAAAAATAGCCAGGTGTTGTGGCGGGCACCTGTGGTCCCAGCTACTTGGGAGGCGGAGGCAGGAGACTCGCTTGAGCCCAGGAGTTGGAGGTTGCTGTGAGCTGTTAATGCTAAGGCACTCTACCCAGGGGGACAGCTTAAGGCTCTGTCTCAAAAAAAAAAAAAAAAATATCCTGGGTTGGGAGAGGAAATGTGTATTAAAAACAAGATTGCCCATATTGGCTCAGTGCCTATAGCTCAGCAGCTAGGGCACCAGCCACATACACTGATTTGAGCTGGTGGGTTCAAATCCAGCCTGGGCCCACCAAACAACAATGACAACTCCAACAACAATTAAACAGGCGCCTGTAATCCCAGTTACTTGGGAGGCTGAGGCAAGAGAATCACTTAAACCCAAGAGTTTGAGGTTGCTGTGAGCTATGACGCCATAGTACTCTACCGAGGGCGACAATGAAACTCTAATCAAAAAAAAAAAAAAAAAAAGACTGCCCATATAATGATAGTGAAACTGGGTAATGGTTAATTTCTTAGATATGATCAAACATGGTTCATTTTGTAACTATATATTTATCATATCCAGGATAAGATGGGTTTTCTTGTTTTGTTTTTCTGAGACAGTCTCACTCTGCTGTCCTGGGTAGAGTGCTGTCGAGTCATAGATAACAGCAACCTCAAACTCGAGCTCAAGCAATCTTCTTGTCTCAGCTCCCCCATAGCTGGAACTATAGGTGCCCCCAACACCACCTCTAGTTTTTCTATTTTTTTAGTAGAGACGGAGGTCTTGCTCATTGCTCAGGCAATCCACTCACCTTGGCCTCCCAGAGTGCTAGGAATATAGGTGTGAGCCACCATGCCCAGCCCAGAATTAAGTTTTTGTTTTTTTTCTTTTTTTGAGACAGAGCCTCAAGCTGTTGCCCTGGGTAGAGTACTGTGACATCACAGCTCACAGCAACCTCCAACTCCTGGACTCAAGCAATCCTCCTGCCTCTGTCTCCC